TGAATACTATCTCGGTTTGCTTACCCGTTCTCGTTTTACCGCCAAAACGAATTGTAAAAGGTGTAGACTACTTCACAAGAGGAACGCACCAAAGTCTTAAACGAAGAAAAAAAAATAAGCAGCAGCAACAACAACAACCGCCGACTATGAAATAGAAAATGAAAAACCAAAAACAACTAAAAAGATGATAAGACATGAAATATTATTACCTGACTCCCTCATTGGGTGCTTCATTGCATCATGTGTTCACAAGCACATTGCATAGTATATATGCATAATTAAATAGTACTGGGATGAAAGTCGTTACGGCATAAAAGCAACCCTTTCGCTGTTCAGTTTGAATTGTGGCTGATTTTGGTCCGTCTGTGTGCTTCTATGTGCCGAATCTTCATTTCACTTGCTCGTTTGTCGTCGCGTTGATTTCTCATTTAGATTTTTAGACTCTCCCCTAATCATACACACGTACCGATTTTCACGCATCATTCTTTTAACTTCAAATGGAAATTCATTCAACAAATTTGACTTGTATCGCATATCTAACCGTTGCACTTCTTCACATTGTTGCATATTGAATCTAATTACATTGTTATCAATTATCACATTAACCTATATTTAGCGCGAAAAATCGGTACAGAGAATGTCGCAACAACAATACCATGAAACCCATTCATCACACATTTAAATATGAGATAACAATGCACCCCTTCATACACACACACTCATGTGCTTGACACTGATAATAATCGTGCAATTGAAATAGAGTTTCATATGCGAAAAATTTATGACCGAGAACGATGTGAACGAAAACAATTTGGCGAGTATCCATTTTTTATGGTCATATTAAAATTCATTTTGTTTCATGATAACAATTAATATATCTGTAATAATATTTTGTAACATTGGCTATTGTTTTCTCTATCAAAATTACCAAGTATCAAGTTAATAAATAATTTCCTTTCGCCACACATATCTCTCTCTCTCTCTCGCGCGCGCGACAGAAATGTTTCAACTCCATTAACTACATGAATTTTTGTGTTGGTTTGATGATAATTTTGGTTTGTGAAGTGAAACCATTTTTTTAGTGTTATTCTCTCGCCTGATCCATAGCGCTAAACATTGCACACACTCTTGGCTTCTGGTTATTACCTAGTAGCCGTATCGTCTTTAAGACAATCAAATAGCCATGGCAAATGATAAGTGCAAAGCACACAAAATGTTATTTTCTTAATTAAATAGAGAAAGAATGTTAATAATTTGCATAAATTTCTCTTAAAACCGACAATCTCTTTAAAATTCTTCGAGAATATATTAAAATATTAGCTAATGTCAAATTCTACAAAACGGTTTAGATAAAGAATTGAATACCACGGCCATAGAAGTTTATAATTGGGCTTCGGCCTTACATTTATTACATGCGATATCCCGATTCGATGGCATAATGAGATGAGCAAAAATTCATAGAAATAGACGCGAATACATGTATTTTCCAATACACACTTCTAAGGTCTTCTGTCACCGTCAACATCGTCCAAAGTCGGCAGACTATCTAATGAGTTTGACCGGCAGACTGTCAGAATTTATTGCGACGAAGATAGAACAAAAAAAAAAACTCACACGCATTCATTATCAGATGGATAGAAATAGTTTAACGTTTGTTATTATGGCGTCATTAAAACCTTACAATTCTAATCACCTTTTGTCTTTTCTTTGACGTGTGCATATCATATTTTCATATTCGAAAAAAAAAGAGAAAAAAATGCCACATTCAAATATGTTTACGACAAGATTGTTCCAAAATATAAGGTTCTATCCAATGCAAAACTCCCAAGATTATTAAAATAAACTGTGAAATGGTGTAGACCAAGATGCCAAACTAAAAATATGCGGACATCGATAAAGAGCGCAGCGCTATCATCGGTGTGGTATAGTGCAAAGCACTTATTTGGCGGTAAGTGTTAATTATTATTCAAGTTAATTGAATCATTCAAATAATTAGAGTATGCAATTGAATGACAGTGAAGAGGGAAAAAAAACGGCGACAAACATTGTAGTATAATAAATGAAGTGAATAAATATGGGCATGTAATTAAACGGTGTCTAGTAATACAAACTAATAATTTCGCACAAATTAATCAAATGCACTCATTTTCACATTGGCGTATTTAATGTCGATTACAAACATCGTTCGATTGGCGTATGAATGCGCACATTTAAGCTTTTACATTTTTTTCTATAATTTTAATGCAATTATTTCAAACTTAAATAATTGTATGCATTTCATTTTTGCTTACGAATGAACAAAAAAAAAAAAGATATATATTGAGTGATGCTTGCCAGTCAACACAGGCGGCTGTTGTTTTTCTTCCGTCCTTTTCTATTTTATGTTGTCGTGCATTTTGCAACTGGTCACATTCGAATCAAATTCAATCGATTCGAAACAACGCCGTCACTCATATTTACCACAATATCTTCTCGTATATTAGCACCGACGTGTGCGCACATGTAATGAATAAAAGGTAGAAATTTTTATTTATATATAAATATATATATATTTTGCAATGAAGCAGTGAGAGAGAGAGAAAAAAAGGTAGAACTACACCATTGAGAATGAAGAGGAAAAGGAAAACAATCGCCATAAATATTAATGAGCAGGAAATATGCATTGATTAATTCACTGTGTGTGTGTGTGAGCGTACGGTTTTTATTGTTATTGTTGGTGTTGGTGGTGCTATTATTAATAATTTTTTTTTCGCTCACACTCAATCTTAGCTTTTAACTGAAGGTCATATGTTAAATAGACACGATTATATACATACTACGTTTTTTTTTTAAATAGCATTTATTACAACTGAACATTGTGTTTCTGTTTCTGTCAAATGGCATTTACCAATCGCTTCGTCTTACCCAGCCCAGAACATAGTCGACACATTTTATGCATGCGTTTGGCGATATGTGATTCTATTCTGTGTGTGTGTGTTTTTTTTCACTCGTGTGTAGGTATCACTTATTAGTTGAACGAATGAATCAAAACGTATTTGTTTTACGCTCTTCATACACTCATTTGTGGATCGTACTGTGAATAATGAGATATATCTATCAAATTGTAACGAAAAATCAGTTTCGATGGAACGCGAAAAAAATACGTAGAAAAAAAAACCGAAACAAAATAGAACAAAAGCGACGGAGATAGAAAAGGCACATAGTGTAAAAGCACGCAAAAATACCCATCAAAAACAATCTAGGCAAATAAATGAGTTGGATAATTGTTGTTGTGGTTGGTGGTACGGCAGCAATAGCCCAGTCACTGCATCACGATGTATATTATATGTGAGTGTGTATATGTTATTCTGTGGTTTAGTGCAGTTTTTTTTTTTTTTTATTTGCTTTGTTTGTGTTTTTTTTTCTCTTGACTTTTTTTTTGTTTCGACGAAACGAATTGTTTGCAAAAATTTTCATTTTCCTTCAAATAGTTTTGCGGTCGCCTTCGCTATCGTTATCGTTGCGTGTATACGTTGGAGCTTTGGTTTGAGTGTTTATATGCTTATATTTGTATCTGTGACTCTCTCTCTCTCTCTCTCTCTCTCTCTCTCTCTCTCTCTCTCTCTCTGTGTGTGTGTGTGTGTTTGTGGATATGCATTGGATTTGTGCGATTACGAGTCTCCCATAATTTTAACCGTGCAAACACAATGCTTGTATACGGTGAGAAACAGCAAATTTACTTACCTATATATATAATTCGGTTTTCAATGCTCCCGCCATTCCGATGAGCTAGGTAGCTGTATTTTGCCAGCAATGCGCTTTTTCTCTCTTTCCCTCTCTCTCTCTATACATCTAATGATGCCGTTGACGCTGTTTTTTTTTTTCTTCTATAATTGTTTTTTCCCTTTTGATCACGAACACACCAGCACATTTTAATCGCGTCAAATTGAAGTCAAGTCATAAATTTTTCACATACTTTTCAAGAACACAGTACGGCAGCTTATATAAAACTTAAACGCTCATTTGTGTAGCGATCCGAATAATGATGTTCGTCTAAATTATTTGGCGTTAAATTTGCTTCAAACTAAATTCTTTTTCTCGAATTTTATTTTTTGTCATGCGTCCGAGTATTTGTTTTTATGGTGTTTCTATAAAATCCATTTAATAATTTTATTTGAATAATTAAGATGTTTGTTTGTTTTGGAAATGGCTAGATTTTTTTTGCTACTTTCGTTTATTTTTTTAGACAAGAGGCAACGATTTCTTTGCGCGTTGGTTTTATGTTAGAATTACCTATCGTTGACTGTCTAGGCTGTTAATTGATCACATAATCTGAATGGTGTCGCATTTGTCGTCATCGTATCGCTTGCTATTGTTATTCATCATAAACTTTTTTATTGGTATCAAAGGCGTAAAATTGGGTCAACTGCTTTATGTATTACTCAAACATATTTTAAATGTATATGTGTGTATCATCATTGTTATTTTATGTCATTTGATTTGCCGTTTACATCGGACTAAAGACATTTGAACTGAGTATTAACATATCATTCAATAGCTTTAAAGAAGTAACCAACTGACAAATTTCCACATTGATTTAAATATGTAAGCGACTACATGAACTGACTTTTTCGCATACACTTAATATAATTGGAAAAAGTATTGTGACATGCCTCAAATATTGATGGCTTCCAAAATGCCCGAAATTACCATTCCAAGACGAAGATGACGAACTAAACGCACTGTACTCAAACTTAGCAACGTTTCTGGACATCAGATGAACTGACTTTGAACCAGTTCATGGCACTTTTTCCCATAAGACTTTTTCTTTAGCATTAAATAATAGTATAATTTTAAGAGTTTATGACTAAATTCGGATTCTTAGAAACTTAGAAATAGAGACATAATAACTTATCATAGCATTTTTGTACAAAACAAACTGATCAAATTACCTTTGGATTAGCTATCAAAAATTGATAATCAAGTGAAGACGAATTTTGAATTGCTTAAAAGAAAATTATAGTAAGAAATTGTAAGTTAACGTGAAAAATTAAAATTTGTTAGTAAAATTAAAGAAAGATAAAAAATGTTCACTGTACGAGGGCCAACAACAAGAAGCGCTACATTAGCTAGAGTGAGTTTTTGAATATTTAAAAAAAATACGATTTTTAAAATCTGTTTATCCATTTCCAGGAAGAATTTGAAAGTATTCGAGATGAAATGTATAACATAATGCAAACAGTAATGAATAGTGGAATTGCTCGTGAAAATGACAAATGTGCATTTTTGCAAATTAACAATGAAGATTGCATCATATTTGAATGGGTGAACGGTTTGAATCACCTCCTTTACAAAAGAGTAATATTAACCGCAGATATGAAGCCTCGCATAGAATTCAATGGTCAGACAAATGATTACTATTGTTATTTAAATAAGAGAATAACTAAGGAAGAGCTTGAAAATCTGTTGCTTCATGTTGCTTTTAAAAGTGAGGAAAAATTGAAAAAACTGTTGAAATGCGTTCCAAACGCACAAGAATCGATTATTGAAATTTCTGACGATGAAATGGATGGCCAACCCATACCAATTGTACAGCCAGCTTTTGAAATTGTTGAAATTTATGACGATGAAATAGATGGACACACGGCTGGCTACGATGTCCAAAATATGATCGATGAAATATCAAATCTGAATGCAGAACTTTCGAATTTCGCAGTAGATCATTTTATTGATGTGTTAGTTAAAAAACAATTTCCGAATTGGAATATGCAACCAACTGCTTATGCGCAAGCAATCGATCGTTATAAGGCCGTACCCATTGATCGCAATGATATTCAAATAATTTTGTGTTTTCATCCTCGACATTATATTGTCAGTCATTATGTGGCCAGAAGGAATAGAGTGTTCATCTATGATTCGCTTTATAAACGTGGAAAAACTCTTAATCATCAACAAATTGACATTCTTCAACGAATTTATCCGGGCAAAAGCTACCAGTTTGTAAAACCAGCAACAATCCAACCTGACTACGTTTCTTGTGGAGTTTTTGCCATCGCAAACGTCACCACGTTATTACATCATCTCGATCCACAAACATATGCATACGGAGACAGACACAATGACCCAAATTTAGCGAGAAAAATGCGACAACACCTTTTATATATGTACGAAAATGAAACGATTGATTTATTTCCATCATACACAGATTAAATGATTTTTTAAAATAAGATATTTTTTTTTCTTTTGCATTTCTATTTAAAAAAAATTTGAAAGAATGTTGCCCTTAAATGCTTATCTTTAAATAAGAAATGAGTTTAAAGGAAAATCACCAAATTAAACTGCAAGATTCAATGTCCAATGATTTGCGCTCTCTGTGGAAAAATACATCTTGCACACGTAAGGTCTTTTATCTGCCTTTGATTTGCCTTAATAAATTTCAATAGTGTATAGTTGGCAAAGTTTGAATCGGCACTCGAGTACTGAATCTATTTCACAAATTTCATAAATCGATCATATGTTATGAATTTTCCTTGTACTTGACAGCTCATTTTGAGCGCACCAAAATGACGGTGAATGATTCACACGGTCGTGTAATATGAAGAGAAAAAATAGGTAGTAAAAGAGCGAGAAAGAGTGAATCGGCAAGTGAGAAATGCAAATATTTGACTTAAAATGTAAACGTAAGAAATATAATAATTGATTCTCAACTGCATTCTGTAAATTAAGCACGAGTACATAAAAGAAAGAAAGAAATCCATTTTTGTGCATATAATACATGTGTATGTGTTTGTGTGTGTGGATTTGCGTATATAGTGGCGTTTGAAACGGGTATAAATTTTATCCAAAGAAAGCAATAACAAGGTCAAGCCATTTGCATATTATTTTATTATCGCCTTACCACATGTAACACGATTTTGTTTGCGCTCCACTGTTGCACGTAATTCCGATCATTGTTTTGCGGTGTATACAGTAGTCGATGTGCGAATTGAGTGTTTCAAGCCAAACCAAGCTGAGGCGAGGCGAGGCGAGGCGAGCTCAGTTCAACTGCACTAAAAGAGTTTTCGTCTATGTGGTGCATTTTCATGTTTTAATATGCCAAACACAGAGCCCATGTGATGATGTGCCATGAATTTCGTCTGTTCTTCTTTTTGTTTTCTATGTGTTTTTTAGAAGACCCGGACCCGGTATTCTCGCTATATGTATATATATACATAAAATATTTTTCAAACATTGTTAAACACAGCTCAAAGCAGTAGTTGATTTGCACTACACAAAATGCATTGTATATTTTCGTGTGTAATGGTGGCTGGTTGCTCTATTATGGCAAAGAAACACACCAAAAATAAATCACGAAGTGACTACTTAAAATTTTAATCCATGCCCCGCAAACTTTGCACAATTTTCGAGTTTCTTTTCCGCTTTGGCATGCGGCATGCTATAGCACGAAAAACACGATGCCTACTGTGTTTGACAATGCGGCTTACACATTTTCGTCTGATCGCGCACACACACTTGACCTGCGACTTTACTCGTTTGCATTTGCAACAATATACATACAAGCATACAAAACACGGTAGCAAACAATTCGTCGACTAATAGGCATTGGAATCATTTTTGATTGACTTGAATTAAAATTGAAATTAAAGTTATTAATAGTCTTTTCATAGAGATTTCATGTGTTTGCCTATTGTATATACGGCATTTTACTGATATTCAAATGTTACGAGAACAATTTTTGCAACTTTAGTTTTGCACCTCAAGCGAAGGTTTAATTGAAAGTAATGAATACATTAAACGATAAGATTCTGTCAAACTCAGTTACTAAGACAATTTAAAGTCTGTCGCTCTCTATCTCTTTCATACACACACACAAGCAGACATGAAAATTGCTCCCATCGAAGTTTTCCACTTTCATTGCAAAACTGATGGAACCGTTCACATTCAAAATGCAATAATTACGGATGAGAAAAGTCGTCTATTTGCCCAGCAGCGAAGCACTATTTTTCTATGTCATCTTGATTGCTATTGTATAATAATCATGAGTTGAGGTTGTCTTGTTGCTTGTTGCTTGTTGCACACTGAAATATTGTGTGCTGTCTATTTTAAAAAGTTAAATGAGATCTCGTGTCTAAGATGATGACCAGCCTAAGTGTGCGGTACTCAGTTCAAATATTGATTGTTTTCATTGAAAGATGACATCAAAAAGTTTCCGTTCTCGACGCCTATTGTATTTACATTGGCCGCTGTTATTTTGCTATTCTATGCATCGCATTGATTGCTATCTTCATCATTATCTCCACCTCGACAGCGTTGCTCGATACTCAATTTATCATGTTATTGGAATGTTAGCCGAGAACTGAACACACTAGAGAAAGTCAAACGACACTCACACAGTAAGGAACAGAGACAGAGAAAAAAGAGAGAGAGAGAGAGAGAAAATGAAACAATAAATTAGTAAATGAGCAATTCTCTAATAATTGGCAAAGCAACAAAATACAAACCAATGCACCTGATGCTCGTGTATGTATGTGAAAGAGGGCAATCCAAAAAGGAATGGATAATAATTAGTGTTTATTATTTGAGTGCAGAAAAGATCATGCATGTTTCCATTCACAATTAAAAATTTCTTGGAAAACTGGACAATCGGCAGAAAAATTTTGTTTGATAAGCGGCAATCATCATTTGAGGACATCACCTCAAGCAAAATTAAATTACTTTTCTTAATTTTTTTTTTTTTGTAATTTGTCTCTCGAAAATTGAGAGAGCGTAAATAAGTGGCGAGCACATATTGAAGTGGAATGGCTATAGAAAATGTCATGAAAATGAAATGAAAAACTTGGCAATTTGCTTTGTGCCATGATGATTGGACATTGGAAAGCGATTTGGTTTTAATTTCGTGATCGGAATGTTCAATTTCAAATTTGTTGATTAGTGTAATAGCTCATGCTACGAGATTTGCTTCCCATAAATACAATCATTTGGCCAAAATGATCTAAAAAGAGTCTCATGTCATGTTCCATTTCGTTCAAACATGGTTTCATTAATGCGTGTCAAGTGATGAGTTTCCAGTGTGTGTTTTTTTTGTTATTTGATTTTTATTTTCTCGCACTCTCTCACTCACGCTCTCTTTCTCAATCCAATCGAATTCTATGAATGGGAATGTGTGCACTTATAATCAGACTGGTTTTGTTTAACGAACAGCAGCGAATCATTATTGTCGTCATGTAAGATACTATAGTTTTGATGTTGGTCACATTGCAATGTGCTGCATTCGATAAATATACACGTTTATTTTCGTTGTTCATTTTACTTTATTGGCAAGGAGTCGTAAAAAAAACAAGCAACACGAATAAACATGTTTACCTATAGATGATGTTGTTTCATTTCGCTTTCTCTCTCTCTCTCTCCCTCTCTCTATCAAGCTTGGCATCGTCGAGTAATGACGTTTTTTTTGCCTACTACACGGCTTGTGTTAATGCATTTTGCTTTTTTTGCACTGAATTAATTGAAACTAGCTTTCAAAAACTCAGAAAATTCTAACACTTTTGCTTTTGTTTTGCCGTTGTTTTTGAAATGTCGCTTCTTTTATTTTATGCCAATGTTAATTCAATTAATTTTATCGATTTACCGCACTCTGAATTTAGTGCGCGTACATAGCATACGGTGTATAAATGTGGTGATTTTATTGCTTAGAAGCAAAAAAAAAACAAACACACACGAAACCACTGGTAACTTGTTTCGCCCGTGCCGTCGAATGGCGATGCGTACTTGTACACGCGCAAAGTAAGGAACATGTTTTCTTGGTCGCTGGTTTTTTTGATTTGGTATTTTCGATATTGTTTTTTTTTTCTGCTGAAAAATGAATGCTTACGTATAAAATGATCGACACTCCATCAAATGTCACCGAAATGAGTTGGGCAATGTAATGGCCTCCGAACTATTGCTAAATATCGATGGCACACATATAAATAGCAACGTAAATGTTCGCTAAAACGATTTTCAATTAAAATATTTCAATAAGTGCTTAATCAGCTCATAATGTCACCGAAGTTGACAATGTGTTTCTTTTTTGTCGCTCGCTTCTAAAATCAAATCACCTTATTCATGAAAATTCTCCGACACAATGATACATAACAACGTCATCGATGATTCTCCATGTGTCGCAAATGTGCGTAACTGCATAGTGTGCAGCACAATATGGTGTTTAACAAACAAGTCCAACCGATGCACGGTTTGCTTGTTGTTGTGTGTATGTTTTTTGCTCTCTTGCTGGAAACTACATTGCATTTTTTTCTAATAGTAAGGTCGCATTGTAACATTCGTGGTTGCTACCAGAATTACCGCTTGCATGCTTTAAATTTATTATGTTGCCGTTGTACGATAAATTAACGTACAATTCCACATTTGTTTGCCATCATGTTTCTTGATCGCGAGCGAGCGGGCGCGAGCGCAAGTACAACTCTTTCACTAATAAGACGAAACAAGAACGAAATGTAACAAGCACCACGATATTAAAGCAGGTGCATTTAAACACTTTGTGAAATAAAAATTTCGAACTTAGGCTTTTTTCCGCTTTTAATTTAGCTGCCACGAATTTCTGTTTTTATTATTTGTATTTTTTTTTTCTCACATATAATATAATATTCGAAATGCATAGAGCTTACACATTTTCATCCTATTTTTGCCGTTTTGTTCTCGTGTTTTCTTTTTTATTTTCATCATCAAAATTCAACCCTCATTTTTTTCAAGTCTTATCATTTGTTCTATCGATGGAAATAAACTTCTGTCTTTGGGACGCATATTAGAAAACCCTTTCCCAGAAAATGAGTTACAACGCAAGACATTTGTTTTGTTTTTTTATTCGTTTGCTTTATGTTCGACAACCCTTTCGTTGTGGAAAACAAGAATATAAATTACAACTGTGCAATTGTATACCTTTTCATTTCGATTAATTAAATTAGTTGGCCAGGGTGAAATGTGAACAGAATGCGTTTTTTAAGGATGTCCATTTTAAATATGCCAGCGATAAGAAAGTAACAAAAAAAAATTAATAATTATGACAACATAAACGATGGAATCGATGACAAAAACACTTGCGACTTGAATTTTTACAATTATTTACGATCGATCAAAAATTTAATACGCAATAAGTACATATCTTTGAAATACCATTGAAGATGACGGTTTTTCAATTTTAAAAGTATTTCTAC